AGAATCCCCATTCACGGCATGCCTCCGATATTCTCTTCATGTCATCTTCATTGCCGGAGAAGAGGCTGTCTAGGTCTATGATCGGTATATTTATGGCAGCTGCTTCCGGTTCGTGGTTGATGGTAGTGGTTTGAGGGCGTTGAGATGGCGGCTTGATGTAACGGTCGGGGAGGGTAGTGAGGTTCTTCTCTGCTAGAGATTGGACTCGGACGATGGGTTCTGGCCACTTTTCGCCGAGGCCATTCTTGTTCTTGGTTTCGATCTTGTTCTTGTTTTGGTCGCTCATGTTGTCTATTTTGACTTCTTGTTCTTGATCGTTGAGGCAGTTCTTGCTCTCGGCCTCGATATTGATCTCGTCTTGCTCTTTTTCTTCTACTTGTTCATGAGAAGTTGTGAAGTGCTGCTATATATATAGGTGGTTTATATGGTTAGAGGCAGAAAAAGGGAGAGAGAAAGGGGAAGAAGATTTGGATTAACATAAATAAATAAATTGTGAATATTAATTATCATACACAAATAAAATCAAACTCGGACCGACTTGTTTCAGACTATTCTCGTGAATCCAAATATTAATAAATTTTCTTTGTATAAAGTAACTGAAGAGAATCGTAACGGATGTTGGAATCCGTAATTGTAACCGATGAGAAAGTCGAATAGAGTCCATACAATTGAAGTTTCTTGCTTGTTAATTCATGAAAACGTGTATAAAAATGTTCTTTTTTGATACGTGGTAAAAAAAGATTGAAAATGATGGGGATGGATTCCAACTAATAAAACGTAAAATTATTAATTATTTTTGACATATATATTTGATAATAAATCCAAATCTGAAAACTACGAAGCATTTTCCAATGAAAATTTTTTTAGCTTCCTTACAAATTAAATAATTTTAGATATCACGTGGAATTCATTTTTACTTATTAGTTGTGAAAGTTTGTAGATGGTTTACCATTTTACAAGATCTTCTTTTAACATAAGCCTAATAATATAAATTAAGATCGGTATGATTTTCTTCTGTTTGAGAATGTTTGGGTAGCTTAACGACATACTCAACCTTGAAATATTTAATGACTTGAGATATATACTAAAAGAATCTGACTTCAACATTTTTGAAAAGAATACTTACCTTTAACTTTCCTTACTTTAGAATTGCAGTAATGTTATTGATATTTTACTACATGTAAAGTGATCTCTAACTTATGCATAATTTCCTAACATATGTGTAAAATGGACGGTGACTTTTATTCTGTTTTAGCAACGGACGGTGACTATCTAACTATATATTATGTTACTTAGCGACAGGCCCGGCTCTATGTGTCCTTGGTGCTCATGCACAGGGTCCTTGTAATTTTGTGTTTTTTATCATAACTAAATTTACTAAAATTAGGGTCAAATTTTTTTTTTTTTGAAAAGCATAAGAAATAAAGACTAATTTTTTTTCAGCTCCGGGTCCTTAAATTTTTTGAGCCGGCGCTGCTTAGCGATGATAGGTATTGAATTTATGAGTAAATATGAGAATCGCAATTATATTAAAAAAAAATCAAGAGTGTTAAAGATGATTATTTATGTGTCATGCAATAGCAAATTAGGCGTGTACGCTTATATTCAACATACCAATCAAACTTCTTTCGTTTATAATTTTAATAACCACATTATTTCAAAATGATTTAGCTCAAGATTAATGTATGTTGGATTATTTAAGTAGAGCTTTAAACAAAATTAAATTTAATAATAAGGAGAGTCAATTTAAATATATTATGTGCAAAACTTGTATCAATAAATGGTCCGTTGACCATCTAAATAGAAGGCCGACGACTTCCCAATAATGGAAACATGGTTCATTGAATTTGGAAGGCACATGAGCATACTAACCAACTACATATTGTGTAACAAATACTTAAATTTTCAAATTAATCAATCAAACGAATTGAGGGAGATTAGGAAGAATAGCTATGATTGTGTTGAAATGTGAAAAAATAGAAAATTATTTTCTTCATTATAACCGAAAATTATTGTTGTAACGGTTTTTAACCTTCAGAAGGTTAAATCAAAACTGAAAATACTTGGATTAATCATTCAATTACAAAATATTTATAAACTTTCAGAAGGATGAATCTAAGATAATGCAATGTATATTGGTTGGTATATAGCTTCAGTATCGAAAACAAATTTGTTGTTTCCATCTGATCGTATTCAGAGATACTAACTCTCTGGTGGGTGACACAATAAATTGATACAGTAAGCAAAAAATCAGCTGGTCTGAAATAGAAAAACTTCAATCTCAAGCCTGCTTCATTTCAATCTGCTCTTACTTTGACCTCTCTATGGAGATTTGGATCTGCTTTATAGTATACAACATCTCCTTCGTCGCTCACGTAATGATCTTCTTTAATACTTTTTGCTAGAATTTCCAGTAAATGTAATGGCAATGGTCCAGACTTATCAGGCTCCCTGTAATACTTCCCTAATACTGGCTTAGCTGCTTCTGTCTGCATAACAGAGGAGCAAGTGTAAGAAAAACTAGCATGAACACCATAAACACAAACAGTCTTTCACTCTTTTCTTTCTATTACTTACTGCTTCGACTAGATGATAATGTGGGATCTGCGGGAAAAGATGATGTATCACATGTGTTCCAATGTCGTGATGGATGTTATTGATCAATCCATAGTCACGGTCCAATGTTGTAAGTCCTCCTCTCAGGTAACTCCATTCCTGTTTTGAGAGAATCATGAGATTTTACACGCCAGTGGCTTTAACCTTAAAAGAGAGAGCCATGTAGTCAATGAACAGTGGAAGAGGAGACTATGCATTTTACCTTTCCACGGTACCAAGGAAGCTTATCTTCATGACCATGGTGATGCAGGTAAGTCACAAAGTCCAACCACATTACATTTATCTGCATTTGACATCAAACCAATTTTTAGTAAGGCAGAGGAAATAATACACAAATTGCTCAGGCTGAAACAGGGGAGTAACAGCGGCGCATTACCCAGTAAGGAATTCCATAAAGTTTGAGCATTTGAATTGGACCGATTGTGAAGTTGAGACAGACAAGGAGAGCAGCCATTGCAGTCCAACAAGCAGTAGAAGTAAGGACATCCTTTTTCTCTTTAGGGAGGAACAAGTCACTGTCCGGATGGTAATGAGAACCCTTTTTCCCCGGACTTCGAGCCCACTGAAACAGAAGACGAAACATGAGCATTTTTTGCCAGAGGTGGCCAGCTTAAGTTACCATAACAAATAGAAGAGTTTTTACCAAGTAGAAAGGGTATGCGAGCATCACGAGAGGCAGAGTAAATCTAAAGAATCTAGTCGGTTTGTCCAAAGTCTTGTAGATTTTCTCAGACATCTGCAGTTACAGAAACAGTTAAAAATAACAGCATCTAGGAAACACCACAGGATAGAAACAAGATGATAACCAAAAAGGCCGTTTTTGACTTACAGGATGCCAAGATTCATCGTTCTCGACATGTCCATGGTTCTGGTGGTGAGTTCTGTGGCTAATTCTCCTACAGACCAACCAAAGTCATATATTTTTACATGAAGACTATCAGATTCTGCAAGTGGTTTAAGAGAAGAACGATTTGAAAGCAAAACTCACCAGCCATGGTATGGGACCAGAATTGAGGAATGAAGAAGATGACCAACCACACTGTTCAACCTCGGATCATTTGAGAAACTACCATGTCCACTGCAATGTAATCAACAAAAATCAATAATTTAGTTGACAATTCAAAAGAGATTACACAGTGGCAAAACCAATAACCAGTTGCCAATTGGGTTGGTCTACAAACAAGATGATGATGCTGATGACAAGGACAGCTTGTTACCTCAGAGACCAATTATGTCCTAAAGCTATTGAAGAGATAGGGATAGCCACCAATTTTGTTCAATTGATTCCAAATTAAAGTGGGAATCATCCAAAGTTGACCAAATCAAAGAAAACAAGAAAAAAGTTAGGGTTTTTATGTGTACCAGTCATGACCAAGAACAAAGAGAGCCCAAAACATGGTTCCTTGAGCGAGCCAATAGAGAGGCCAAACAATCCAATTGTTGAGGTAAGCAGCTCCAGCAGCCAAAGCAAAGACGATAGCGACATCTCTGACGACATAACTCAACGACTTCCATGGATTCTTAACCCAACAATGCTTAGGTATAGCTGCTCTAATATCCGCTAAATTGAATGGAGGAGGCGCACCTGGATCGAATCTTTGCTTATTATCTTTGTATTCTTCCTCTAATGGAGACTCCTCAAATATCGGTGTCGTTAACGGTGTGCTCACATTCAACGCCCAATTCCTCGTGAACCCATCTCGTGAATTCAGACGAAAAGCGAGAGGAGATGATGTTTTGTAAGAAGAAGGTGATGGTCTGAATTTGTTGTTGTTAGAGACGAAATTGGATCTGGGTGTTGTGTAGATTCTGGGGAGAGGTCTTATACCAGATTCTGATAAGACCAAGTTCGCCATTAGAGCTCGAGCTCTCTCCCCAGAAGAGAAAAGACTCTCTCTTTTTTTTTCTTCTGGTTCCTGTTAAATGAGTGGTGGTAATAGAGGAACAGAGAGAGAGAGGCTAAAGAATAAAGATAATGTCTGAGATTTTGCTTATCGTCTCCCAATTTCTATCTCTGTCTCTGGTTCACACGCTAATAAGTCTTTATATAAGTATCAGCAACTTGAGAGGAGAAGGAAACTTAGTGGTGATGTGAGATTTCGTGACGGTCAATTTTGACACAACTTGAGGTTTCAACACGGGGGATTTTGATTCATCTCGTTTTAATTCTTGGTTTTAGTATAGTTTTTCTTTGGTTATGATGTCATCTACTTTAAAGCCTTTGAAAATAAAGTGAAAGAAAAGAATAATACTACCAAAAAAGATAATGAGGCGTATGTTTCATGACCTTAGCTTTTAAATGACGGTAGCAAAATTTATACACATTATTTTAGTGAGTATATAAGATCGTTAGACAAAGAAAGAGGAGTTTGGTGAAGAAACCTATTTGAGAAATTGAGTCAATTACGTTTCATTGTTTCACACCCTATTGTTGCTTTTATTTTGATGGGGACAAACCAAATCTCCTACTCGTCCGTCATTCGTCAAGTTACCTGGACGGTGAACAAGTAAATTGAACCAAGTGGAAATTGAAATTAAAACAAGAGAAACCCAACTAGTTGGTCAGCCTGAAATATATTAGCCCAAGTCCGACTTAAAATAAGACTATAAGCCCATTAAACACACCCCTCAAATTATCCGACTTTTTTTCCCCCTTCTGGAGACAAAGAAGAAGAACCCTAATATCCATCCGATCATGGCACCGAACAACAATCTGAGATCCGTAATCGCGCAGGTAAATCGAAGATTTCATCATGATTATCCTTTCTTCTTCTTTTTTTTTTTTTTTTTTTGGTTTCCAGTCTTTGTACGATCTATTGAATAAGATGCAAACTTTCCAGTGCCGCCATTTATCTACGAGGTCTCGCCGCAATGTACCTTCGTCCCGTAGTTACAATGGTAACAACAATGGTAACGTTCTCTTCTTCCAAATGTATCAAATTCGTGAGCATATATTCTTGGGTTTCGATTTTGTGATTCTTCTTTCAATTTTAGTTTTGGGAGAAGGCCGAAGAAGAGTTATGGCCAGTGGCGATGGGTTTAATTATGTTAATTGTTTTTTGTCATCATTAACGTTCGGAAATCTTGCTTTCGGTGGTTGGGGTAATGTTGAGATTTTCGATATTTTAATTTTCAGTTTTGATTAGAGACTGAGAAACAAAAATCAAATTCGTGATTGCCTCAGCAATTATCGAGCTACTAGAATTCCGTCGAACGATGATGAGGGATGTGGAAGAACGTAATCGTCGTCTTGGCGTAAGGGGGGAGGTGTGGAAATTTTTTAAATTTATCATTTGGGGATATAACAGTTTGTTCTAAAAAGAATTCTAACATATGTTTTTTTCTGTGATTTTTTCACGATTTCAGCCACCGGAGATACTGCGTGATATGCTTAATTGGATCCTCCAATGATTGAATTCAGAAGAATTTGTCTTTAGTTTATGTTTGATGCTGTAAACAAACAAAAGTTATAACCTATGGGTCTGTGATGTAGCTCTCTGTGTTAGGTTTTTGTATGATGCTTTGAAAAAGTTAGACTAGTAATCTATGGTTGTGGACCTTGTGGTTATGTTGGTCAGTGTTAGGGTTTTGTTTGACGCTGTGTGCAAAATAAAATTAGTAATATATATTGGGAGGACTTATTGTCCTGGACCAGAGTCACGACTGCGAGAGCTCCTTCCGTCCTAAGAAAGCTTGTGGTTCAGGCCATTATCTACTCGGCATGGAAGCAGAGTAACAATGTGCTGCATAATAACCAAGTCATCCCTCCAGCTACCATCTTCAAGACCCTAGACCGTGAAGTCATTAACTCTAATTGAGCTGTTTGCTCAATTAGAGTCTGAAATCTTCTGGATTAGTTTGCTTCCTAGTTTTTTATTCATTTTTGCCAAGGAACCAAGTCTTAGGTAATCCTTATGTAATTCCTAACATTTCATTTATATGATATTTACTCTCTTTGCAAAAAAAATATAACATTTTTATGTTATAATATATTTGATTTGCCGTTTAAAAAAAAAATTGTTTCTATTAAATATCCAAGAACATGAAGTCATATATTATTCCCTATATTATTTAGGAGGTCAGTTTGGTAACCAGTAATAAATGGGGTCATGGGGATGTCATAAACAGCAGTGAACAATAGGACACGCTTTAAAAAAAAAAAAAAAAGAAGAAGAAGAGCGAACCCTAATTTCCGATCATGTCGCGGAATAAGCATCTGAGATCAGCATGTGAGCAGGTAAATCGAAAATCTGATTATGATTAGCTTTTGTTTATATTTTTTTGCTTCTGTTTCCTTTCTTTGTGCGATCTATTGAACAAGATTAAAAACTTTAGAGTGCCGCAATTTATCTTCATCCCGTAGTAGCAAAGGTAACGTTCTATGAGTCAGCTTGAAATCCCTCAAATTCGCGAGCGTGGGGTTTCGATGTATTTGTACTCGGAGGGAAAGTAGAAAAATAAATCCAAGTTTTCATTTGTGATTGTAGTGGAGATGGGAGCTAGGTTCTTAGTTCAAGGTACAGGAGTGACTTTGGGATGGATCTCAGGTATGCAGAAACAACAAAAAATTTAATTCCTTTCATCGAAGTAATCAGTTTGCTTTTCTTTGTTTTGTGTATGAAGGTTATTATTTGTATGGAGGTCAATTAGATAAATATGAGGAGAAGCGGCAACAGGTAAGCAATTGAATGACGACATTTTGTGACTGTTGCTATTATTACATCTTCATCATCATCTCTCTGTGTCTTCAGATTGTGATGGACGTTTTTGGGAATCCTGCGGAAATCGAGGATCTGAGGAAGAAAATGTGGCCTGAGTTAAGGAAGATGGCGTGGTTTAGAAGTTTGGACAAGAAGTGGTCTGACTATAAATCGAAATCCTAAATATCTCTGATGCTTTGTACCCGGTCATTGTGTAGTAGTCGAACATATAAATTAAGGAATTGCGCAGCGTTAAAAATATATGTCTTCTATTATTGTTGTAAGAAAATATGTCTATGGGAATGAATGGGAAGCATAATGTTTCACTTAATATATATCCAACAACTATGTAAATAAAAGTCGCCCAAAGATGGTAAGACAGAATTAGCTTACTTCTTGTAAGCAGAGAAGTCATTTGAAGGACAAGTAATGTTTCAATTCATCATCACCACCGGTTTCCAGTAATTGGATCAGATTATTTTTCATCACAAGTTTTCTGTTACCCTTGACCAAATATTCCTTCCCTGCATCTATCATTCAGACAAGCGTCTATCAACTGAATTCTTGACAAAGAAGTGTAGCAACCTTGTTGGTGTTTTTGCTCTTGTATAATTGTAGAAGCCATTGCTTCAAATACAGAGCATGGTAGAGAAAACAAAGAATTGAAAAGTGGAAAAACTTCTTTATTATTCTCGACAGTTTTTACATAAGACAACATACACACTTATATAGATGTGTACATAACTAACTACTCTAAGTAACCGTTGGTAAGAGTTGTAACTTTTCCGACAAGTTACGTGTCTTACTCACACCCTTTCGTAGTAAGTAACATGTAGCACATGACATCCGTTGACTTTACATACAAACTATAACATATATGATATTACAAGATTTAATCATGGACACAAATTCTAACACTCCCTCTTGAGTCCATTGATTAAATCCCCAATTTCAATCTAGGGATTTCATCATTTATCCCATCGATTCTTCTTCACCATGGTGATTTACCTCTTCTCTAGGTTGAATCCCTTTGACGACATTGGTAAGCTTCCCTTCTCTATCTCCCTCTTGACCTTCTTTACTTCTTCTTCACTGGCAAGTAAAGCACTTGTGTCTGACTTTCTCCATCTCAATGGAAAACTCTTCTGCTTCATCTTAATATCCAATATCCTTCTTCCTTGAGGTTTATTGATGATACATTTATTGTCTTCAAATAAGACTCCGTGTCCATTGGATATCATTTGAGAAACACTCAACTCGCTAAACCCGGCACTAGAAATACCTCTTTGATGATCTTCTCTCCTTGGCTTGTCATCACTTGGATATTTCCTTTTCCTGCCGTCATTACATGTTGACCATTCCCCAGAAAGTCTTCTCCAAGTCACTTTCAAGTTTACCCGTGATCTCTCTCACGTTTTTCTTGAAGTCTCCATGAACTTTCCTCACGTCTTCTCCGTGATCTTTATCATGTTTTCGTCGGCTGTTCTTGCAACCTTCTTCCACTCCCTTTCTCTTAAGTGAGCTTTCTTCTCTTTCCCTTTTGGTGTCCTCTTGATCACCAAATATGTGATCCTTTGATCATCATCACGTCTCTGTGACGTCTTGTACGTGAATCTTCTCCACGTCTTCTTCGGTTGTCTATACAACCAGCCAATGCTTCCTTTCACTCTTAGGTAAGCATCTCAACTTTTTGCTTGGTGTCTTCCTTTGATCATCATCACGTCTCTGTGACGTCTTGTGCGTGAACATCTTCACGTCTTCTTCGGTTATCTTTGCAACCGGCCTCTGCTCCCTTTCTCTTAGGTAAGCAGCCTTAACACCCGTAGGCAAGCTAACATCGTTGTGTTGCTTTCTCCAACAATCACTCCCATTGTGATTGTCACACGTACAAAAGTCACACCATTTCTCGGCTTTATTTTGACTTTTGTCGCTACGTTTGTTTCTTACTTTTTAAAACAAACTTTCTCCACGTCTCGTTGACGACATCGGTTCCCTTGAACCTTTTTGCTGAGTAGCCTTGCACTGTTCTCCCAACAGAAGCTTACTCCGTGTTGCAGTGTTCTTCACAACTCAACAACACCTTTTGACACTAAGCCTTGCCCTGTTTCTTACAACAGGCGGCTTCCCCGTGTGAACATCATTCTCAACGACTCCACACCACTTTTTGCTAACAAGCCTTGCTCTGTTTCTTAAAACAGGTAGCTTCCTCCGTGAGATTGTGTTTTTAACACCTCACACCACTTTTATTGATTTTCTGGTTTAAAACCAGAATCCCTTCTTCTTGGTCGAGCACCGAACACACCTTCATACGTGTTCTAATTCTGTGAAAAGACATGATCTTCATGTGCTTCACAGTGTCCTTAATTCCTCCATTGACGCTTCCTTCCTTTGATTTCTTAATTGCACCCCTTCGGATGTCTCTTCGGATTGCGTCAGTTTGTTAGGAACACCTTTCACCACCAGCCACAGTTATGTCGATAGTAAGATGGTCTTCATCTTGTTACACACCAGATTCCATCGTTTCTCCATCAAACATGTGAATCACTTGCTGCAACGTCTTGCCATGATCTCTGTTTTGACTTGAACCTTTTTGCAGATTCTTTTTATGCTTCTCTTAATGCTTCGATTGGTCCTTGAATCATTAAAGCTCTGATACCATGTTGGTGTTTTTGCTCTTGTATAATTGTAGAAGCCATTGCTTCAAATACAGAGCATGGTAGAGAAAACAAAGAATTGAAAAGTGGAAAAACTTCTTTATTATTCTCGACAGTTTTTACATAAGACAACATACACACTTATATAGATGTGTACATAACTAACTACTCTAAGTAACCGTTGGTAAGAGTTGTAACTTTTCCGACAAGTTACGTGTCTTACTCACACCCTTTCGTAGTAAGTAACATGTAGCACATGACATCCGTTGACTTTACATACAAACTATAACATATATGATATTACAAGATTTAATCATGGACACAAATTCTAACAAACCTTACAAAGAATAAAGCAATAATAAAGGAAAAATTAACCTTTTGTTGCTTTTGCTTGAAAGTCTTGTTAAGTTGAGCAAAGGCTTGTTTGTTAGGTTCTCGGCAATTGAAAAATGGATTAGTGATGGAGAATCGTGATGGTTTGGTCGATCAAGTAACGAGATTCTTAATTTAAGCGGAGTTTATCCATATAGTTGTATCACCAGATTAGAGCGATGGTCAAGTGTTTCTGAAGCGGACAAGTTAGGTTTGGCGTCTTTGAGCTTCGAGGGAGATGGACTCCGATGGTACAATGGCGAAATAGAAAAGAGTTAAAGAATTAAAAGTTCAATTTGGCAAATTTCAGAAACAATCTTCACCAATTTTCAGTGAATGAATCGATTTCATGACAGACTCGCCCGCCAATTGTATGAGAATCCTGGTGATTGTGACATGCTTTTTTGACCATCTGGTTTCATCAGAGTATAGTATTCCAATGCGATTGAAGGTTGCAGAAAATGTGGAGATGCTCAGTACACAGAGAAATAAAGACTGAAACTGAAGAAGAAGAAACGTGTTGTAAGTGTCTTGGAGGTTCAACTTCAAACCTGAGAAAGAGAGCATAAGGAAACTGCATAATCATGTTTTAAGTTTCCAAATTTTGTCGGAAATCTGGATTTTGCTGTGATGAGAAAGAAATTCGTACAAGCATGAGAAAGTGCAAATCAGTTCAGTACTTATTTGTTTTCATTTTTACAAATAAGATGGTATAATTTGGCTATCTTGTACTAATCAATCTAGAAAATTAGGTTATACATTAAAAAAAAAAACCTAATTTTCATTTATACCATCTTATTTGTTTTCATTTTTACAAATAAGATGGTATAATTTGGGTATCTTGTACTAATCAATCTAAAAAATTAGGTTATACATAATCCCACAAGAGGGAGTAAAGCCTTATATATTCCATGCGTAGACGCAAGTTATACATATGCTTTGACAAATACTACTCTTCTCTAGTAACTTAAATCGCTCAGCCTCTTCCAAAGTCACATCCATCTTCCAATGGCTTCCTCTTCAGCACACCTCAGCCACCACCAACCTTCGACCAAGCACGGTGGAGCCACGGCGGCGCCTCCGCCGACTCCGTCATGCTCACATCTCAACACCACCAGCAAATCGGAGACAGCAGTCGACGCTCTCTCCAGCCTCTTCAACCGTCTTCCTCCTTTGCTTTCACTCCCCAACCGCCGCTTCTCCGACTCTGCATCCTCCATCGCTTCTCTTCCGTTGGTATCTCTCTCCGCCGGAGATAGACGTAGCTGGGACGATCTTATCTCCGCCGCCGTGACTGATTTAGGCTATTTCCAACTCACTAACGATGACTCCGATACTGTTTTCCCTCATGGGCTCGCTGAAGCAGCCGAGTCTGACTCACTCTCGCTCTTAGAGCTCAGTGAAGAGAAAATAGAATCGTCGTTTCCGAAGAACTGGCCGCTGGGCTACGAAGCGGATGCTGAAACGCCATCGTTTTGCCTTGACGCCGACTGTTCAACCGAGTCTAGCGAGTTGAATCTGAGTTCGCTCCGCGAGTTCACTCGGACTCTGGAGAAAGTTGGACTGAAGACAGTAGAGATGCTGGCGAATGCACTCGGATTTGGATATGACATGACCCGGTTTAATACTCTAATGTGGGTTAACCAAGGTGTTCCTGATGATGAACCGGAGATAACCAACGGATTTTATCCTTTTGTTGTCTGTTTACAGTATCAGATAAGGGAACAGAGGTATTGTTTGCTAACCGAGTCTGGTTGGGTGTCCGTTTTGCCTCGAGTTGACTCGGTTCTGGTGACGTTAGGTGACATTGCTCAGGTTAGTTCTCTTTTATTGGTTTGACAAATAAAATAAAAATTCCTCCTTTATTAATTGGGTAGTTCAGTTGTGTTCTTAAAAAAATCTTTAAAACAATTCATCACATTATCATCTTTCTAATGGAATGGAACTTTATTCCCTCCACTATGGCGTTAACTCGCTGTCTTTATTTATTTAAATCTGTTCCGATGTCCATATCCAAAATAAATGTTTTCCAACGCATTGATCAAAAAGAGAACAAAAATTAAAATATTCCCGATATTTATGGTTGTCAAAAACAACAATTGTGGAGCAGAAGCGGGGAAATTTTTAAGGGGAATGTGTTTTCACTTTTCATTTGAAACAGATTTTAATGGCATAGGGAAAGAAAATACGAATTTTTAAATTAATTGCCAATATATATACATATATATATATATATATTGTTAATTACATTTCCGATTTTTAATTTATATAATGGCAATGGTTACTTTTCAAAACCTGCTTTGTA